GATGGGAATGTATTATCTTGTATGGCTACAGTACAATCAGTGTAAAAGTGCAAGATATAGACTAGTGTGGATTTAAACAATGTCCTTATTGTAATGTTCAAAATAAGTGTCAAGGAAATTTAGTATGATTGTTGGAAAAATGGTCAACATTTTATTTGTATCTTTTTTACCCTGACCTTCGCCTGGGCGAACTATGGGCGAAGGTCTGGATCCGCGCCTGATATTGACGTAAGAAGAAATGTGATTCCACTCGATCCGCAGCTGCTCAAATCGTTCCAACAACCACATTCAGAGGATTGATTGGTACCGAGTACGGTACTTTGAAATACGGTTTATTTTGCGACACATCTCGTCGAAACGTCACCGCACAATTAAGACCATGACTAATTTAGTCTATAGCTGATTTGAAAAAGTTATAGTGATTTGTTTACTTAAGCTGTCCCCGAATAGGCTGTTCTAATAAATAAAGATAAAGAAAATAAGGTACGTCGAAATCAAACTTCCGACGTGCGTGCCAAAAAACCAATCTAGATCATGAGTTGTGGGAATTCCCTGTGAAGCTCGTTCAGATAACTTTATATTTGTCTTTATACTTTTCTAATCACAAAGCTAATGAAGTCGAAGTCATGTAAAGAAAATAAAAGAAGGAATACCTAGAATAATGATTTAAAAAAAAAAAAGCTTTTTTGCTATGCTAGGGTGTTAAACTTTCTCTCTCTGTGTGTGATAGCGCACATTGTAACTATGATGCCTTTTTATTAATTAATTCTCTTTTAATCACTATTTACTCTTTTTGAATGATATTTTCGTTTTAATAAGAGAATTAATGATTCTCTAACAATTATATATTACTCACTGTGTTTGGATGCTTCCTTCTTGATATTGGTCGAATTTTGACGTTTTCCGAAAAAATGCAAGTGGATTCTACATATGCTGTAAGATTTATATCAACTCGATTTTTTCACAAATCCTAACGTCCTAAAATCTTTAAAAATGCATTATTTTTGCTGAAATTTTTACCACATGTACATAAACATAGTCTGAACACATTTCTGAAATTTCATAAATTTTGAAAAATTTTAAATATTTTTCCGCGGCGATTTTTATTTCGATTTCTTTTATTATTTTAGTTGTAACTGTGATGCTTTTTGAAAATTCAAATGACGATAAAAATTTAGTTTTGCTATGGAATCGTTCTATTCATCGGTTAAAAACTGTATTTAGTGGTATATTTTCTCTAAAATACAAAAAAGTCATTGTTATCATTTGTTTTATAACATAAAAACGGTTTTGCCAGGAAAAATATTGTAACTATGATGCTTTTTGCTAAAATTTTAATCGACCATGAATGATTAAATAATCGATATATTTTTGTATATATTGAGGGATAGGTTTAACTTATAAATGGGAATGTGTAAACACCAAAAATCCTGTAAAATTTAATGTAAAACATAAGAAAATGTGTATCTATATGACTCTCTCTGCATTTGGATAGCACAGTCACTGCACCAAATTTCTCATAGAGGGCGCTATTTTGCACTAGGATCAATAATAAAATTATTTTAGACTCATTTTAATTAACTATACTTAGGAAATTTAGACTAAATTGCAACTTTTTACCATTGGAAATGTTATTAAATATTTTTTTCTTAATTTTAATGAATTTTATATACCGATTAATGCCATTTCAAACAATTTTAATATTTGTCGAATTTTCGCATCATTGCCGATTCAGAAAATGCATTAGTTGTACGGACGTACGTAGATTGATGTCTTTAAGTGTTTTGTTTTTATTTTTTTTAAATCTAAACTACATTCTAATATATATGTGTATATACATATATGTATGTAATATATAGGCCTATATATACGTACATATACAAAGTAATAATATGTATTATTATATGCTCCCAACGAAAGTAGTCCTGCAAATAAATTTATTTGCAGGACTACATTCGTTGAGAGCTAAGCTACGCGATGTATTATTGTCCTTTATTAAACACTGTATTTACCTTTCTTTGATGATTTATTATATATATTTATATACATACATATATATATACATATATATATATAGATTAAAAGGCAAAATACTGGGAAACAATGGCTGGATCTCAGTAGAGATATTGGTTCCACGTATGTCTCACAGAAACATATAACTATAAGTAAATACGAAGTTGAAACGATTGCATACGTTGTAATGAAATTTATTCAAGAGGAATATCTAATATAGAAGGCCTATTTGTTTGAATTAATTAATGAAATGAATTTATTGAATCTTTCAATACGGAGCTAGAAGAGTCTGTCTTTCCATGCACAACTCTACAAGATGTATGAAAAACATATGTACATACAAATGACAATGATTAAATGCCAATCTGATTAAATAATCTAACTCCATGGCACACATCCACATGCGTATTAGATAGCACAATTTATCATATATACAATATTCACATCATTTTACCTATATTACCCAAAAATAATTAATAACGGGTCTAATCAAAAATTGATAAGGAAATTTCTCGTTGATATGCCCGATGAGATATTCAAATCATTGTTTCTTTATTCGAGCAATGTCAATACTATTAAAATGTATTACACCGTGAAAATGTATTGCACCGTGCAAATATATTGCAGCAACATCGATTCGATACATTTTTATTCAATTCAGTTAACTTTTATATTATATGCCTATATCAATATAAATTAAAGAAAAAGGTTACAAAATAATCAAGTCAAAGGCTTTAAATATGTAACCCTGCAAATAAAATTAATACATATATACACATAATGCAAATATTAATAATAGCATAACAACATAAAAAAATAACAGACAAAATGTATGGACCTATTTGAGACTTCATTACCAACAGATGTATATTGCTGTCTATTTATTAAATAATCTGAAAACCATATTAGTGGGTATATAATAGCCTACCTGGAGAGGCCATGTAGC